AGAGAGAGAGAGAGGGAGGCGGGGGCGCTACCCCAGAGAGAGAGAGAGAGAGAGAGAGAGAGACTGAATGGCAAAGTTGGAATATGAGTCAAATAGCGGTCGCGATCTATTTCACAGTCGGAATGATTTTTTCACGAATTCTTCTGAGAGTGAAAACTCACTGAATTTGGAGTACTTTTTTAGTTGGCCCACACATGGTTGAGTGGCAAAAATGGAAAAAAAGCCAAATTGGTGTGACAATTATTTCTCGGTCTAAATGATTTTTCAAAAATATTCTAATATTTTTCCTAGAAAAAACACAACCTCATCTATGGATTCCCAAAATTTCAGATTTTTCTGCGGGTTCCTCTGAGCACAGAAAATCGCTAAAGGTGCCTCTTGCAAAACGCTTGTTTCATTGCGCTTGACCTCCCTGTTTTGAGAAGACAGGCCTCAACGCCTGGGCCTGGGGGCCCTTTTGCAGTTCACATGACCTCACTTTCTTTCGGGGTCCGCTTCCACCCGTGGACCCGTCCAACGCCCCCCACTTCTTTTTGGGGTCCACTTCCATCCGAAGATCGGTCCTTCCTTTTTCCAAAAGTCCCGGTTCTACCAGAGTTAGTTGTAGGTAGTCCGCAATTTTGGCAAGGACTGGTTCCCTAAAATTTTTCGCCCCCTAAGAACCCACTTTGCGTCCCAGTTGCCCGCCGCCAAAAATGCGACACCTTGACACAGACGTCGAACCCCAGTAGACCGCAGCCTAAGGGCTACGAACATTTTGGCAGCCCTAGGCTACCCTCTTGATTCACCCAGGCACAGGGATTGGACGGTGTGTGAAAAAAAGGAGGTAGACTACCCTGACAGGGTAAAGTCTTCCTGATCTCGTAACCTAACCCGGGCGCACCGTCTTCCTGATCTGGAAACCTACTACCGGGCGTGCAGTCTTCCTGATCTGGTAACCTAAACCATGGCGTGCGGTCTTCCTGATCTGGTAACGTAAACCCGGGCGTGCGGAAATTTGTTGTGGCGGTGGAGTCCCTTTTCTCCTGCCGATTCCCGACAACTATTTGTGCTGGTGGATGCTTTCCGGGCACAAAGCTACCGTGGGCATGTGGGGTCCAGTCTTAGGCTATGTGACTATTGCCCAGTGAGACCATGCTATCGGCTTGATCTTACAGGCTGTCACCTTGAATAGGTGTCCTTGCCAGGTCAGGCCAGTTCAGTCTGTTCGCTGGAGGTATACTCCAGCAGCAGTCTGTCTTTCCATGTTGTCGGCCTGATCTTAGATCTTACAGACTGCCAGGCTAATCCTAGTCCAATCTGTCCGTTGGAGCTATTCGCATCCCTAAGGACCGTGGTATGGTGGGGTCCGGCATCTGTGACAAGGTGGTCGACGACCATTGCAGAAGAGGGCAAATTTTGGTATGACCGGTCCGTGGAGCGCTAGCGGAGGACCCACAGCCTTAAGGAGGCCCTACCGGTAGGTTAGCGTTTCAAGGGACTGGCCTCACGCATAGGTCTCACGCGTAAGTCCCACTCCTGGTGACACTCCAAGGGGTAATCCCGCAACTTGCAAGAGGAACCTTTGACGATTTGTTGTGCACAAATAATTCACAGAAATGTCTGACAATTTGAGAATCCGATAATTGGGCCCTGGACTTTCCAGGAAATAAGTAAGACCACAAAATAATCGCCGCGCCGAATTGGTGCATTTTCCATTTTTGCAACTCAGCCATGTGTGGGCCAGCAGAAAAGTACTCCAACATTAGTGATTTTTTGCACTCACAGGAATGTGTGAGAAATCTGACAATTGGAGTGCTCGCATATTTTATTATGATCTTTCCAGCAAAGATATTAAATAAAATTAAAAAAAATCATTTCAACCGCGAAATAAATCGCGACGGCAATTTGACCCATTTTTCATTTTTGTCACTCAGCCTCTCTCTCTCTCTCTCTCTCTCTCTCTCTCTCTCTC